ATAAAAGTCAAAACGGAAAAAGTCAAAAGACAAAAAGTCAAAACGTGTAAAAGTCAAAAGACAAAAAAGTCAAATGGAAAAAAGTCAAAAGACAAAAAGTCAAAAGCAAAAAGTCAAAACGGGTAAAAGTCAAAAGACAAAAAGTCAAAAAAAGGAAAAAAGTATAAAATAGAAAAGTCGAAGTCAAAGTCTGAAATAAAAAGTCAAAAGGATAAAAGTCGAAGCATCGATCTTTTCATCTTTTGAAAAATATTATACAGCGCAACGTACCCTACCCAGTACCCACTGAAGTTGTAAGGAACATGTGAGTACGCGAGGGATTCTGACAGCCGGGGTCCGCAGCAGCGGGGCAGGGACGCTGGCTGCGGTGGTGGGGCCCACGCTCACATAATACGCGTTGAGCGCTTCCGGCGTGCACGCTGGCGCAGCAGCAGTGGCACTCTTCCCCGCCCCGATCACCGGCCGCAGCACTGTCCACATCCTCGCCGGTCCTGCCTCACGCAGCTGGTCAGCATAGTATGCCGCGTGCTCACGTCTGATGGCCGCTCGACACTGCCGGTTCACCACCGTATACTCGGCGCGCGGGCCGAGCAGTGCGCGCCGCCGCGCCAGCAGCGCTCGCGTGGCGTCCGTGGTGCGCGGAGCACCGGGCGGCGGCAGCCCCTCCCCCATGGGAGCGAGTGAAAAGCAGTGCCTCCTCTAAGCAGTTTTGACTGGGGGGCCCGATCACGGGCAATGACTAAGGTAACCCCTACCAAAAACGTCTAAGACTAAAAAATGACTAAGGTACCCCTCAGTGACCAGTTTGGAGGATGACTGCGGGGGCTGCAGCTCCCGCAGTTAACATGTTAGAGGAGGCATGGGTGTCGTTTTGTATAGGCATGGTAGGGCCCGAGCCAGCTACCAATAATTTTGGAAATTTAACATTATGCCTATGGCGTTGCGTGGAAAGAATCGATTTGAATTGGCAAAAATTTACATTAGAGCCCTACCAAAATTTTTTTGGAAAGTGTCGCCCCTGAGAGGAGGCCGTGGTGAAAAGCCAAAACCTCAAAATATAAAAATACCATGTGATTAACGCTTAAATGACGTCAATGGACTTAACCCTATTCCTGGCGGGGGGGGGGCCTCAGGAGCCCCCCCACTGAGGTTTTTTGGTTATATCTCCCAAACGCGTTGAGCTAGGAAGCTCAAATTTTCTGACTTTTCCTAAAAGGCTTCTACGCAACATGTCTGAAAATTTTGAGTTGATCTGACCTCAGGTCAGGTCACCAGAGGCGGTTTGGTGACGCTACCTCAGAAAAGTTTGCAATCACGCCAGAGCTAGAGTTTTTGACCGATCAATTTCTTCTCTTCAGGGTTTAGTTAGGGTACCAGTATGCGCAATTTGTATATCTCGGAATTTTGATATCGGTGACCTAAGGTCAGGTCAATTTCGCGACCTCCCCATTATAAGTCAATGGGGGAAAAATCAACTCCCTGTTTTTACCACTAAAACGGGTCGGAATGGCCCCATATACCATACATGACTTCATATACGATCAACCTTCACTACCTTGAGGTCTGTTTTGCTGTTGGGCAGCTGTGAGGTCATGTGACGTCATCAAAGGTCACCAAAGGTTTTTGGCCAATAACTCCGTACAGGAACAAGATACAGACGCGTGGATGGTCTCATTGTGTTCAGCTCGTCAAGACGCATCGAATGTTATACATGATGACCTCGAGGTCACGTGACCTGAGGTCAACCTTTGACCTTGACCTTTCGAGGTCAACATATTTTTTCATTTTCACATTTTCGACCCCTGTGACGTCATCTTTGACCTGACCTGAAAATGACCTTAGTAAAAATTGTAGATCTTGGCCGTGCGTATCCGATGCCGTTTACCGTTTGTCGCTATCTTGCTTCGTTCTCGAGATCTCAGGGGGGGGGGCCGAATCGGCCCCCCCCGCCAGTTTCTTGTCCCGGCGGAGCCCGCCAGGAATAGGGTTAAAGTAAAAAATACAAAAGACGAGATAATTTCAAAATTTTGAGTTGCAATTTTTGTCCCCTCAACTTTCAACCTACCCCATCAACTTTTCAAACGTTCCCGGGTCACCACTGCCCCATCGTGCAATTCCAGTGCTATGGCAAAGTTTTATCTGAAAGTTTAAACGTGCCCGATAGACTGGACGCGGTCCCCTCCGTCCACTCACGCTCTCTGGTCTCTGTACGGTCATCGCTGACTGGTCCAGCATCCAACGCGCTGGGTTTATAGAAATTTGGTTAAAAGAAATGAACATATTTTAATGAACGAATCCATTAAGTAATAAAATGAAAATGATTCACAGGTTATTATTACATGTGGGAGCACTGGCGCTGGAACTTTCTCAATGTTGGAGCCGGGCTCGAGGCAGTTTGAACTCATTTCTTTCCATGCAACGCCATAGGGTTAATTACGAGCGAGCGGTGTCTTATGGTTTTTTAGATACCTATATGACTTTTTACTTTTTACTTTTTCTTATTTGACTTTTTCCATTTGATTTTTATCATTTTGACTTTTTTGCCGTTTTTTCACTTTTTGTCTTTTGACTTTTCGCGTTTTTTGACTTTTTGCCATTTGACTTTTTGCTTTTGACTTTTTGCGTTTTTGACTTTTCGCCATTTTGACTTTTTGCCATTTTGACTTTTTGCCATTTGACTTTTTTGCTTTTGACTTTTTTCTTTTTTGACTTTTCGCCATTTTGACTTTTTGCCATTTGACTTTTTGCTTTTGACTTTTTGCGTTTTTTACTTTTTGCCATTTTGACTTTTCGCCTTTTGACTTTTTGCTTTTGACTTTTTGCGTTTTTGACTTTTCGCCATTTTGACTTTTTGCCATTTGACTTTTTGCATTTTTGACTTTTGGACGTTTTGACTTTTTGCCATTTGACTTTTTGTCTTTTGGCTTTTATCCGTTTTGACTTTTATCCATTTGACTTTTTTCCATTTGACTTTTATCCATTTTGACTTTTTGCATTTGACTTTTTGTCTTTTGACATTTTGTCTTTTGACTTTTTGTCCTGGAATCGACGTTTGGCCTAGCTCTTCGTCAAAATATGTTTTTCTTTGTGATTGCTTTTTCAGTTAAATCTTTCCAATGTTTCGGTTGCTGTTATTCAACGCTGAATGAGTATCATATGCGGCAATCATGATCTAAGCTCAGATTCGGGGCGAAAGAAGAGCATTTAGAATTAGCTGGTAATTGGCTGGATGACAAGCATTTGCATTTCGTAGCATTTTACAATCGACGATTTAATATGCACTGCAGTTTCCATCGACGCGTTTCCGGCCTCGCCACCGCCTGCCAAGTGCCAACACGCATCGTCCCCTGACGGGCGCCTCCTCTGTGCTCCGTTTCAGCAATATGGCGAGATCGTGGACTGTCAGAGCGACGACGCCACGCCCTCGGTGGTGGTCCAGTTCCGCAGCCGACAGGAGGCCGAGGCGGCGCACAACAAGGGCCGCCAGTTCGGCGACCGGCTGCTCACCGTCAACTGGCACACGCAGCCGGCGTCCGCGCCGCCCGCCGCCGCCGCCCCGGCTACAGGAGCGGCGCAGACGGGTGCCGAGGAGCCGACCGCAGCAGCAACAGCGGCAGCTGCAGCAGAAAACAAGGTGAGCACTGGTCACTGATCAGGGAATGATGACATGGGATGCTGAAAAAATGTGACGTTATGCGTGGGCGCCAATGTTTGTTTGCATGTCGAGCTTCTTACATTCAACCGGATAGCATTTGGATGGCGGAAATCAATGTCACGAGCAACGGCTTTGCTTCCCGACATCCAAGTCTGTGATCTATCAGTCGCTTGTGTCCTGCTGTAATATCCAGTCGCTGACGCCGCTCCCTCCCCGTGTGTCCCGTCAGTCTCCGCCCGGCTCTGTGGTCGAGATGGACCTGCTGGCCGAGGACGAGGATGTCGAGCTGGACAGTCTGGCCGCCGCGCCGGCCGACGACCTGCTCGCCGGAGACGAGGAGGAAGAGGAAGAGGAACACGAGGAGGAGCGCTCCTGGAGGCGATAGCCGCTCAGAGGCCGGCCGGCCGGCAGTCGGCTGACCTGACCTGCCGGGACCGCCCGTCGGCTACCTCGGACCGGGCCACGGTGGCCGGCGTACCTGTGTTGTTTGCACGCCCGCTCGCGTTAATTATAGTTACCTTTTCGCTCTATATCTCTCTTTCGTTCTGTGGTCGGCGCTATGTGTGCGGTGTGGCGCGGCGGCCGCCGGGGCCGCGCGGCCGGATGTACGGTGTGCGGTTCAGGGCGAGCGCGGCCGGATGCCGTGGACTCGACCCCGCGGAGATGGGATGGATTGCCGAGTTGCTGTACCCTTGTTGTGTCGATATAAGCACAGTGCCTCCCGCCGGCGACTGCAAAGGAGATGTGCTATTCTCCTCGCACGCAAAAAAAGATAAGCAGTTCGCCTGAATAAAAAACACAAAAAAGCCAAGCTGGCAGCACAAAAAAAAAACAATATGGCGGGAGGCACAACAAATAGTTGGTGGATTTTAATCACAGATTCAGCTCCCAGACTCCGTGAGGAGGGTTGAGCTCGGGCGCTGACCGCCCTGAGGGGCAAACTACGGTCAGCGTCCTGTCGGCTGGCTGGTAATTACCAGCACCGACAATCCTTAATCCCGCCAGCCCCCAGCCTTCCTCAGTTCCCCGCCACCCTAGCACTCCTAATCCGGGTCCCCATCACCGCGATTATTCGGTCATCTTCCAGTTCAGGCCACAAACGTCGAAGGTCCAGAGTATTGCGCAGCCTCTACCACCATCCTCATTCCTCAGTGTGAACATTACCTACCCGACCATGAGCTGAGGAAACTCGTAATCCGATTGCGTTCCCATCCGACAGCAATGTTTCCCACATTTCCTCGCCCGAGGCCTCTACCAACACCGATGCGTACAGCAGCACGGCAGGTAAGTCCGCCCAACCGGCAAGTTGAAAGGGTTTGAACACGTTGGAAAGAAAAGTATCCTCCATTGTTCAGGACCTTCTATTATCACAATACAGATGTATCCATTTAGATAAAATACCATGGAAAACAACAGGCACATACCGCCTCCCATCCCGTCCCCTCTCCCACTATCATGCGACGTCCTCGTCCTTCTGCAGCATCACGCACCAGTTGCCCTGGTCGTGGTAGCTCTCCAGGACGGAGAGTCCGCCGGCAGCCTGCACGTCCTCCTCCAGCTCGCCCGAGCGGTAGACGTGGTAGAAGCGGTGGTGGACCTCCTCCCCTCCATCCCCTCCCCCTCGGCCGCCCGATCGCAGTTTCCACGGCACCAGCATATCCTGCTGTTTGAACTCTGTCCGGTTAGTGTGTACGGGCAGCGGCAGTTCGGCGGTGTCCGCGCCCGACGCTGTCTCCGTCTCAGTCACCCGCTGCTGCCGGCCCGGTTTCAGGTAGCCGGCGGCGCGCGTCCCCTGCCGCTGCTCCAGCGCCCATACGTAGATGAGCGCCCGGCCGCCGGCACGGAGAGCCCGTCCGATCTCTGCCAGAGCCGCCACCCGCCGCTCCTGACCAATGAAGGGAGGGAGGTCAGACTCGGTGACAGAAAACAGGTGAGCAGGGAATCGAATTCATAGACAGTAACTTGTAATTGATATGCGCGCTAAATAAGCGTACCGATTAAGTGAAGATTCCACAACGCTGATCGCAGGTCATCCGACACTCCCTACCCCTCGCATTCTAAAAATCCAAAACGACGAAATATTCACCACTCCAACATAAAATCCGTCTCTAGGCCGAGCTGAGGGCACACAAGCCCTGTGTGGTCCGTTAAAGGAGCCCATCCTCCTGTCGGCTCTGAACGCACCTAGTTACATGACCTGATGATAGAGTCCCCACCCGTCCGCTCCCGAAACTCACCCGCGTGGCCAGGTGATGGAGCACGGCGATACAGATGACGGCGTCACAGGCGGCCGACCGGACCGGCAGCGGCAGGCAGCCGGCGGTCACTGTCTGGTGGCCCCGGCCGCCGCCGATGGAGCACAGACGGCTGCTCTGGTCCACTCCGACCTGGGGAAGGGTGAGTGGGGTTACAGAGAGTTAGACAGGAGGGATGGAGCGGCAGTGCTGGAAACCCAGCACAGCCGGCTGTTCTGGTCCGCAACAAGCTGACGAGAAGTCAGTGGGGAGCAGAGCGCGTCACGTCACTGCCGCAACGGGCGGCGTCACCGTCACTAAGTGTGCCGTCATCACTTTAGGAATGCGGCGAACACGGCCTGGGGTATTGTACGCTCTAACATTGCAAGACAACAATGTGGGCCACTTGTGACTAACCTATTGGATTGCAAAACTGCTTAGGAAATAAACTATCGGAATGAGTTAACCACGCTCCTGTTAGCAAAGTTCTACTAACTACGTGTGATCCACACTGTACTTCCTCCCTCCGCCGCTCACCTCGAACGTGTGCGGGTTCAGACCGAGGTATTTTCCGTTTCCACAGCCGACGTCAAGCAGCACGGAGCCGGCGGGCAGGCCGCGCACAAACCGCTCCACGCGCGGCCACGGCTTGTGACGCGTGCAGCTGAAGTGGTCGGCTATCTGCTCGTACACCTGCCGCCGAGACATACAGAGGAAGGTGAGAGGGGCGAGGGAGAAGCGTCTGGTAAGTGGTAAGAGGTAAAATACTTGAGACCGGCTACAGGAACTTCAAAGCGTTCACGTATGAATAAGCAGTGTGCACACACTTAAATGAATAATTTAATATGTCCTTGGCTTGATATGTGGGACGTGGGAGGCCTGATACCTCAAAAGTTTGCGATTTCGACTGATTCGGAATGTCCAAAATATTTGACTTTTGAGACACAAAGACACACGAAGCGTTCACTTCACTGCCGATTACTTACATTAGCTACGTAGGTCCTCTCCAGTTGTTCGGTGATACCCGTCTCTCCGTTCGACCGCTTCTCCTCAGCCCCCCGCTGCTGCTGCGAGTCGCACTGCTGGGGGAATCGGCACCGACACACGTCCCTCCGCAGTCTGCGCAGCGTCAGCGAGACGCGCGTGCCGCGCCGCGTCAGCGTCAGCTCCCCGTCTGACGTCAGAGTGATGTCCGAGTGACGCGGCACGATACAGTGCGTCCACAGGTACCTGAGCGTGAGCGAAGAAAGGGTAAAATAAGAGTCAGTGGATGGAGCGATATCGTCCATTTCAGTCGTGGTCGTGGCACAATAATTTGACAACTGTATTAAAATGCAGGATTGCTTAGGGGAGTGAGCCAACGTACTCCAGCATCAGGCCGCGGACTGACCTGGCCTCTCCGTCCATAACCAGCGCCGAACGGCGCGGCAGGCGGACGGCGACGGTGGCGCCGTGCGGCGGCGGCCGGCAGAACTCTATGGTGGTATCCGAGCCCAGACTGATGGAGACCAGCTGGTCGGTAAATGCGCTGTGGGTGTCCACGTGCGCCGGGATGCCCTGCGCGGACACGGTGTGATACAGGTGGGTGAAACAGGTGAGTGAAACCGGTCGGTGATACCAGCCAGTGATAAGGAACGGAACATATCGCCATTATCCCACAATGGAGCCGCGGGGACGCTAGTATAGAGCATCCGGGATCGTAAAAAGCACGGCTGGAATCCTACATCGACGAGTTTTACCTGACATCGACAAACGACCACCAGAGCAAACTTTGAGGTCGCAGCAACAAAAGGCCCAATATTTCACTCTTAAATGAATCTATTCTGACGCAAAAAAAAACGTAGAGATTCGTTTCTTTTTGCTTGTTTGTTGGGTTCCGCCATTTAAAGAGTGTGTCAAGTCGACGACCATAAAAACTGGCCTGATACCTGTCCGGGCAGGTAGTGGTTGATGGTCATCTGGTCGGGCCGCTCCACCAGGTGGCCGCCATCCATCAGACGGGTCACCAGCGGCTCCACCCAGCCCGGCAGGCCGCCCGCCAGCGGCCGAGACGGGTCCACGTTATTGGTGCCGTAGTCAAACTCGTATCCAAAGTGCAAAACCTGAAAAATGGCACTCTGAGGTACTTATGTGGATTTGAGGCAGAGCATACTGATATGTTTTCAAAAACTAGCATGGTATCAATTAATAAGTATGGAATTTATCAACAAAGACAAACAGGGTACAAAAACACATAAAAGATATGCTGCTGAAATTTTGCTCCAGGGCTCCAGGCCAATCAGCAGGTCCAAACACTATCCAGGGCCCAAGCTGCTGTGCCCTGTTCTTTTCACAGGTCAGGACAGTGACTATACTGTGTGGGACAAACAGTGCAGCACATTTCCCACCTGTCTGTGCTTCATGCTGCCATCAGCTGGCCAGTGGAGCTGGCCGAGGATTAGCTCCTCCTCCTCTGCACTGAGCAGATCCATTATCAGAGCCGCACCCGGTGGAAGGCGGAACTCCAGGGGTGCACTGCACAGCTCCACTGGAACTGGGCAAGGGACTGTCACATAAGTTTCAGGGCCAGCAGTTGCAGTAGACAGTGAATGGTCAGCAGTGTAGCATAATGAACAGGCTCTTTTGTATCACACTTATTGTTATCAGCTTACCTCGCTCAGCATATGCCAAATAGAGTGGCGGTTCCCCATTCTGCCCATCCACACCATCCAGGGCCTGCATGACCTGCTGGGCTGCCTCTTTATCAGCAAACTGTATGAAGCAGAACTGCCGCCCAGGCACCATGTGGACGCTGCTGGCTGGTGCGTATGGTAAACACTTCTCCAGAATAGACTCCCGGGAGGCACCGGTGGTCAGTCCAGAGTTACAAACCACCACAATCTGCCAAAAATCAGGGACATGGCAGGGATGTCACAAACATAATTGTTGTATCTCAATCTAATTTGATTTGCATCAACAAACACAAACAGGGCAAGTGAAATAATTTCCCAAATTGAAATTCTTAATTGTAATGGGCAGCTTTGTCACATTAGGTAAAATATTCATGTATATCATATATGGCTGCAAATCAAACAAATGCAGGCAATTAATGGCTCACCTCTGTGGGAGAAGATGAAAACTGTATTTCTTTTCCTTTTGAAAGCAATGCAAACAGCCTTTGCTTCTTCCTCAGTAACTTCTTTTCATTTTTACTGTTGAGCATCATTAAACACTTATGATATTGATATGACCAAGCAGGACTTTAAAGCTCAAAAGTGTAATTCAGTGGAAATACAACGATAAATAAATAATAACTACCCATATTCCCCTTTGTCAGTTGTCACAAAAACTTGAACTCCATGTTGATGTGCAATCGCAAGGATTTGGTAGCAATTTGTTAATGTCACTGCTGCGTCATATTTGCATTCACAAAGGGTTCCAGATTGAAGTTTTCCTTTAGTCGTCATGCTGCAATGACGGGCTTCCTTCATCAGAAGAACGGTTGCTCATCCGCAGTCTCATGAACTTGTGAGATATAGGAATAAATATTCGTCTAAAGGGTTGAAAAACCCCAAAGACAAGCTTTTGAAGCACTTTGACTTTGAAAGCCCTTGCCGAACTCTCATCCACAACTGCCACCATAATCAGACCCACGCCGCGCCCTAGGCCCACAGAAACTCATCCCCATTTCCCAGGAGTTAAATAGTCCAGACAGAAACTTATCATCTTATATATTCAGTTTCAATCACAAGTCAATACGGTGATATATTAGGACATGGCACCCGTGAAAAGCTGCGACACCAAACCAGCTTATCGAACTGTAGTAATGCAAAAAGTCCAGTACACTCAGATGCCTCTATTCACACCCGTACCCGCTCGTGTCCCGGAGCGCACTGCCCGGCTTCACCACATTAGCCTAGATCATACCTCTGTACACGTCATATCACGTCATATCACGTCATTCTGAACCCTAGACAAAGGCTGATCAATTTCTCCCTCCGCCGACTCACCGTCGCCATAAGACCCTGGCTCGCAATACGACGCGCACCATCATCGCTCGAACCACGCAATGACTAAGACACAGACTACACCTCACCCTGATCCTCAAGATCATCACTTCCGCTGCTGCTGTTTAACGCATCAATCGGCACCACGTGGCCGAAGAAGTCAGGCGGCCGCCGATTACGCTGACCTCGGCGCACCACCCTTTCGCCGCTGTCGCTCTCAGACCGGCCGCATTCACCACCCGCATCATCAGCCTCCTCCACCGGGCGCCCCGGCGCGCCATCGCCCTCATAACCGAATGTCATGACGATCGGGGACCCGGCACGGTCCTCCTCCGCTTCCTGTGGGCCCCCGCTGCCCCGGTCGGGGGTCCGAGGGCCTGCTGCTGGTCCCCCGGTGTCACCGCAGTGGCGGAGGTCTCTGATGTGCCAAGGCACGCCGCCCACTTCAACCACCTGCGGCGACACCACGCCAGACACCGTTCCTCGAACCGACCGCTCGGTGCAGCGGGTGCCCGGCCGCCTCACCCACACGGCGTCCCCCACCTGGAAGTCGCCCTCCCGCCGGGCTGGCGGCCGTCCTATCACGGCCTCCTCGGACGCTCCGGCGGTAGCTCTTTGTCTCACGGCGTCCCTCACAGGGTAGCGGTAGATGCCGTTGGCGGGCGCCTCAGCCGCCGTCCCGCCGTCACGGGGCGTGATATTGTACAGGTGCACGGCCTCTCCGATGCCACACTTCTTCCGCGCCGCGATCACTTTGACACTGCGGTGGTTCCGCTCCACGATGGAGTTCCCGCTGGGGCGATGCACTGCGCGGAAACGCAGCAGCACTCCCCAGCGGGCAGCGAAAGCGGCGAACTGACGACTGCGGAAAGCGGTGTCGTTGTCCGCCAGAAGCTCAGCCGGTGCGCCTCGCTCCGCGAACACTTGTTCGAGTTCACTCGTGACTGTCGCCGCGTCCGACCGCCGCAGCAGCCTCCACACACAAAACCGTGACGGGCCACAGTCTATCACCGACAAGTAGGACTGACCACCGTAGTGCGTGACATCGATGGCCAGCCGGTCCCACGTCCCCTCCACAGCCAGCGACCCGTGCCTCCAGGTCACCGGCGCCGGGTCAACCGCGCGGCAGACGTCACAGGCCGTCACCACTTCCCTGACCACTTTCCGGGAAATCGACGATGACACATCCCGACGCGCGAAATACAGCGTTCGTCGGACACCCGGGTGACCCGCCCTGACATGTACGTCAGTGACGGCCTGTCGGAAGTCCACGGTAACGGCGCCGCCGCCGTCTCCCACTTCCGATCCAACCACTGCCGCTGCTGCCACTGGCTGTCCATCGCTCGGCCGCTGGTCCGCTGGCTGCGAGTCCTGACGCAACCACAGGGACGGCACTCGGGTCAGCGTGTCCGAACGGTTCTGAGACGAGCGGACTAGAGACACGGTGAGAGAAATGCCCAGCTCTGCGACCAGCTGCCTGATGACGTCGACCCGCCGGCGGATAAGCATCTCTCCATGTGCCTTGGTTCGCAGTCTCGCGCGCCCGCTCAGAGCGTCGCTGACCCACCGGTGAACAGTGGCGGAGTCCGTCTTCAGCTCGATGGTCTTCATGTCCCACGCCAGGGCCAGGTTGATGCCCCGCACGGCGGCGTCGAGCTCCGCCATGTTGATGTGGGTGGCCTCGTCCCGGCGGAGCCAGCACGCGTCCTCGATGACGTCACCTCCCTCGCTCTCCAGCACGACGCCGGCGGCTATCGAGCTGGCGTCCGTCCACAGTACGGCGCGGTGCCCAGTCACGCACCACTGCCCACGGGCCGGGTCCTCGCTCGCCAGTCGCTCAGCCACGTGCTTCAGCTGTTCCCGCAGGGCCGCGTCGTGTGTGACGTCATCCCACCCGCGTGTGAGAGAGTTGACACGACGCTTCAGCCACGCTGTCGCTGGTCTCAGCCAACCGCAGACCGGCAGGTGCGCCACGATACGACCACACCATGAAAACACGGAGCGCCGCGTCATTGCCGCGGGCGGTGAGCCGACTGGGTTGTCACGCCTCCAGGCCAGCCCACCCCCGACTGGCTCCACACGCAGTCCCAGCAGCCGCGCTCCGTCCGCAGCCCGCTCCGGCGGCTTACACTGGAGCCCATAGCTCGCGAAGTGGGCGATCACGCGCTCCGCGCTCACCACGTCCTCATTGACGCACAGATCGTCGACGTACGGTATGACGGCGCCCTGCATCACTGGGTCCTGTTGCAGCACCGTCCGCACCACCGCCTTCATGATGAGAGGCGCGACGTTGAGCCCGAATCCGACACGGGTAAGAGCGTACCTTTGGCCATCAATCACGACTGTCTGAAACGGCCACAGCCGACGATCGGTCCTGAGCTGCAAGTACGCCCTCTTCAGGTCGACGACGGCGACGTTGGCCCCGTGCCGCCGCCATTTCCTCAGCGTGTCGGCACATACGTCAGCGTCGGCCGTGTGTGCCTCCACATGGCTGTTGAGCTCGCGGCAGTCTAAGACTGGTCGTACTTTAGTCTTGTTCTGCTGTTCAACAGCCATGAGAGGGATCAGCCCGCGCGGCGGCCCGTCCACCGTCTCGTCGTACGGCTCCAGCCAGCCGTTGTCGATCCATGTACGGAGTTCAGCATCAAACTCCTGCCGTGCCTCGGCCGGCACGCCGTACTGGGGGACACCGTTCCTCAGGCACCCTGGCTCCGCCCCGTTCCGCCACTTCCACGCCACCGTCCAGTGTTGACTTTTCGCGTCATAAGTGACCGTGAAGTCTCGCTCTTCCACGGTCAACGCCGGGGGCGTCACGGCGCTGCATCGCGGCGGCACCCCTCCCGGGCCCGGCACGGCCACGTCGGGCCTCTCGCTGGCACCGAACACCACATCGTCCGCCGCCCGCACTGTCACCCCGCCCAGCGCCGCGATGCCGGTCATCCCCACCAGCATATCCACGCCCAGTGGTTTGTCCGGCACTACCACGGCGCTGAGCGTCACCGCGGGCCCGCCGCTCTTCAGCTGAACCGCCACCTCCGTTACTCCGCTGCTTGGCAGCCGGGACCCGTTGACGGCCATTACAGTCACGCCGCACCGTCTCCAGCTCGCGCAGCACGACTCGTGGATGATGGTGCAGCTGCAGCCCGAGTCGATAACAGCCACTCTGCGCTGCCCATTCACCAGCAGCTGCACCGTCGGTAGCGCGCCTCTTACTCTTGGGCTGCCCGAGAGGAGGTTGGCGCAGACACCGCCTCTCCTGACGCGTTTCCCGGCATCCGTTCCGGGCAGCGTGCCGCGGCGTGTCCTGGCTGCTCGCACCGGAAACAGATGATGTCCGCTCTCCTCTCCGCCCGGCAGTCACGAGCGAAGTGACCGGCTCGACCGCAGCGGTAACACCGTGATGACGCCGGCGTGTGGCGGGAACGGGCCGGCGCAGCGGCGGCAGCGGCTGCAGCGACGGCATTCTCTGCCATCAGCGCCCGAGCCCGCTCCACCAGCTCGGCCAGCGTCAGGCTCTCCATGCGGCAGCCGGCCCTCAAGGTATGCCTCGCCGCATCCGGGAGACCGGCCACGAAGCCGCACATCAGCGCCGTGTCGCCGAGCCCGCCGAACAGGGAGGCCAGCCGCCGCAGGTCTGCCAGGTAGACGTCGACGCTCTCGCCGACACGAAGTCTTCTCGCCGTGAACTCCTCGTACGCCTGGAACTTATCCACAGCGAACGCCCGCAGCAGGGCAGCTTTGACGGCAGAGTACTGCAGCTTCTCCTCGGGCTTCAGCTGCTGGTAGACGCTGAAGGCTCCGCCGGTCAACCGCAGGGGGACGACGGTTTGAATGTCGGACACTCCGCGCAGCTGACAGACGAGCTCCGTCTTATCCAGCCACTCTTCCACAGAGGCGTTACCGCCATCGAACTCGGGGATTAGCCGCATGTCCAGCGCCGAACTTGCCACAGCGCTTTCCTGTGACATGGTTGCCGAAATAGCTTGTAGTAATGCAAAAAGTCCAGTACACTCAGATGCCTCTATTCACACCCGTACCCGCTCGTGTCCCGGAGCGCACTGCCCGGCTTCACCACATTAGCCTAGATCATACCTCTGTACACGTCATATCACGTCATATCACGTCATTCTGAACCCTAGACAAAGGCTGATCAATTTCTCCCTCCGCCGACTCACCGTCGCCATAAGACCCTGGCTCGCAATACGACGCGCACCATCATCGCTCGAACCACGCAATGACTAAGACACAGACTACACGAACCATCATGCCTAAGCCAGCGGAGGCATTTGCAGCTGATTTTGAAGGACAAAGCACAAACATACTTGCACGAAGCGGCATCTTCCTCTCCCCAAACAAAACCAGCCGAGCTCATACACTGACA